CGCCAAGGGGAGCGGGGCCGGCGCCAGCCCTCCAGCACGGCACGGGGCTGGAGATCAGGCTGCAGGAGGGCGCTGGGAGACCAAGGAGAGGGCTCTCATTAACAGTAATACGATGATTAATGCATTCATCATCATGCAGATGCCCCGCGGGGGGGGGTGACACATGTAGGAGTGCATTTGCATGTGCATTTTTCTGCCTTCCCGACCTAGAGGCATTCATGGCACGACAGCGGGGTGGGCAGCCCTGGGCAGGGGGGCCACGGATCGGTCCCCTTTGAACGTCTGTCCTGGTGGGCCCAATCTTTGGTGGAAAAGGCGGTGGGAGCCTGTGGTCACGGCGGGCAGCGACACGGAGAGGCCAGGACGTCTTGGGGCGATGCCTTGGAGATAGCACCAGGCAAGGCTGAGGTTGAAACCCACCCCTCTGTGCCTAGCCGACTGAGGCCCGGGCGTCGAAAGGGTGGACTTGATTTCATTCACGCCCCCTGTGCCTAGTCTCGCATTACCTGGGACAAGGAGAGAGTTTGTAGTGGTAAGGGCAGCCTTGGCCAGCAGAGATTTGGCCACCGTTTATTGGTGCGAGGCGGGCCAGGCTGGCACCTTAGACACAAACTGGTTCAGAGAGGCATGAGGTCGTCCACCGACCTTGGTGAGCCTTGCCTGAAACCCTATGTATTAAATTAAAAGTATTGTTCTTATTATTTAATAGTAAAGGCAAGGATTTTGTTACTTTGATATCTTTAACCTGGCACCTCCTACAAAGCCTCTGAACCCTCTCTCAAGTGCCACCCTGCCCTGCTTTCTGCCAATAAATGAACAAATTTGTCCGATGGCCAAATTTGACCTTACCGCTATAATGCATCTCCTTTTCCCAGGCTAATGTGACTAGGCACAGGGGGGCTTTTTACGCTGTGAGTGAAAACGAGAGCACATCAGGCCCAACATTCAGGTATCTTTAAGGAATCGCCTAAAGGAATCCTTGCAGGGTGGGTTTGATTTAAATCCAACCAGTTTAAATCATGGTTTAGATCACTGGTCAGGAAGCCTCACTTCATTCATTGTTTTCTATAAAAAGTGCTTTCTTGTTGTTCAATATCCTTTATTCATTTAACTTCTTGAAATGTTGCACTTTTAGAGAAAGGTAAGGGCGTGACTGCGTACACACACTTGCAGAGGCAAGAGGTAGGATGGGTGGGTAATCACTCAGGCTTGTTTCCTCTTATCTCCACATACTGCTGTTAACAAGGATGCAATCCCCCTAATCTCCCCCTAGGCCTGAAGAAGGGTGTTTGACCCAGACAGCTTGCAAAGAACAAGTTTTCTAACTTTTTAGTTGGTCTAATAAAAGATATCACATCTACCCAAAGGACCTTGTCTGCCTGTGATCTCTGGAGACACAAATCCACAGTTTGAGAAGTGTAACTAAGCATCACAGAGATGCTTCATGGGATCTTCTGGACTGAGCACTGAGTCCCATTGGGTAGAGTGGTTTTCTTTAAGCTTTACTAAACTATAGAGGAGCCTCTGGGAACCCCATAAGATTGGGCCCCTAAAATAGTCCATGGCCTATGGTGACCTATTTATAAAACTTTTCTAACAAGGTTACAGGCATATATTGTTTCAAATAGTATATAATTAGAAGTTATAATCCCTATTCCATGATGATATCTTTGAACTTTTAAAACTATCTTTATATAGGTTTATTTTTTTAATAAAAATAAAATCTTAAAAAAGATAAGTAAATAAAATCCAATTTAAATTTTAAAAAATCTTTTTTTTTTTAATTAAAAAAAATACTGTTGATTTTTATCCACCCTGAATCCTTGCCTCTCCTCATTTCTGGACCATCATGGCTACAACATCACCCTTACTATTATTAACTTGAAAGAAAAAGGCAGATGCTCAGGGAAAAACACTGGCAATCTGAAATCTGTTTTCTTACTAAAATATCCTGTCAGCATGCATGCAGTGGTTTATTAGCTGGGCTGCTAAGGTGCTGATATTTAATTGGTTTTATTTGCTTTTGGAACAGAAAAAGGAATGATAGTATTAATTTGACAATGGAAAAAAAATTGGCCTGGCTTCTTTTCTTGGACACTGTTTTTCTCTTTAACATTTTAAGTAATAGTGTTGACAGCTAATTAGCATTATGCTGTGGCTTTGGGCACTGACTTTATCAACAGGATTAGTGTCTTATTACTTGCTCAAGTTAATTACTTTAACATTAGCTGCAGCAGAAAAAATCCAATTCCTGTGTGCCTATAACACAACAATGATGTGTCCAGGGGTCAACATGGTCTGGTTGTCAGTAGCTCAGTGGATGGGATAGTATGTCTTTTTACAACAAATGTGAAGGAACCACCTAAGCACAGTGAGATCTACACAGTAATATTTACCAAATATACAAAATGCGCAAAGTTTAGTTCTTATACTAGTGGGTGCCAACCTTTGACAGGCATGCCACAAATTAGTCCCACACCTCTGAGTGCCACTTCAGTCTCCTTCCTCTGCCTGATCTGCTGCTCTGCTTTTTGCTTCCTGCCCCACTCTGCTGCCAGTTTCCTCTCCACTCCTCTGTGTGCCACATGTAGAGGCTGCTTGTGCCATTTGTGGCATGTGTGACATAGGTTGGCCACCCTTGACTTATCCTCAGCTATTCTGGTTGGCTTCTTGGATTGCTCTCAAACTTAATATGCTAGGCAGGGTGCAAAATGTTCAAAGGAAGACACTGGACGGGGTATGAAAAGACTTTAATTCTATTTATGGCTTTGCCACCCTCCCCTGCCTTATGCCAGTAAATGAACAAGCTATTAACCCATATCTGATGGCCACGTTTGACCTTGCCACTACAATATCTCTCCTTTTCTCAGGCTAATGTGACTAGGCACAGGGGGCTTTCTATTCTGTTAGTGAAATCAAGCCCATCCTGTTGATATCAAAAACAGTATTCATCAAGCCCATCATTTTGTTGTTCTGTTATGAAAACTTTACTCAGTCAGCAATGAAGATTATGTTTATCCTTTTCAGGTTAAAAAGGGTAACTTCACATTATAACTTCAGTGGCTTAAATAAGTTATGACTTCCAATTTAATGAATTGGATGAATTCCAATTTAATGAAGAAATCATTCAAATATTTATATTGATAGATTTTAAAAAAACTATTTTCCCACCAAATCTATATTGGGTTCTTGACTTGCCTTTGTCCTTTTAATAGACTGCATCAATCACCTATCAAATGCAACTGTTACACTAAGACAGCTGGTTAGAGGCAAAGATTTCATAGATTTCATAGACATTAGGGCTGGAAGGGACCTCGGAAGATCATTGAGTCCAGCCCCCTGCCCAAAGGGCAGGAAGTCAGCTGGGGTCATAGGATCCCAGCAAGATAAGCATCCAATTTACTCTTGAAGGTGTTCAATGTGGGTGCTTGAACCACCTCCGATGGTAGGCTATTCCAGACCTTGGGGGCTCGGACAGTAAAGAAATTCTTCCTTATGTCCAGCCTGAAACAGTCTGGCAGTAGTTTGTAACCGTTTGACCTCGTCATCCCTTGGGGCGATCAAGTGAACAAACATTCCCCCAGATACTGGTGGTCACCCCGATAAACTTATAGGTGGCCATCAGATCACCCCTGAGCCTGCGCTTTTACAGGATAAAGAGCCCCATGGCTCTCAGCCTGTCATCATAAGGTCTGTTTTCCTGACCTCTGATCATGAACGTGACTCTTCTCTGCAGCCTCTCAAGCTTCTCCACATCCTTTTTGAATTGTGGAGCCCAAAACTGGAAGCAGTACTCCAGCTGCAGCCTCACCAAGGCCGAATACAACGGGAGAATGACGTCCCAGCATTTGCTTGAGAAACATCTATGGATGCAAGGCAGCATTTTGGTCTCTCTACTAGCTGCAGCATCACATTGCAGGCTCATGTTCGTCCTGTGGTCAATGATGACCCCCAAGTCTCTTTCTTCCATAGTGCTAGCCAGCGTAGCACTGCCGAGCCTATAAGGATGCTGTAGGTTTTTCCTCCCAAGGTGGAGAACCTTGCATTTTTCAGTCTTAAACACCCTCAGGTTTTCCTCTGCCCACTTCCTGAGCCTGTCCAGGTCAGCCTGCATCGCCCTCCTGTCTTCAGGTGTGGACGCTTTGCCCCAGAGTTTGGTGTCATCCGCGAACTTGGCCAGTCCGCTTCTGACTCCAGTTTCCACATCATTAATGAAGGTGTTGAAGAATATGGGTCCAAGGACAGAGCCTTGGGGGACCCCACTGGTCACTGGGTGGCGGAGGGGACCAGGGCTGGGACTCGGGCACCGAGCTGGGGCAGACTAGGGGAGGGAGCCAGGACTGGAGCTGGAATGGTCACCCAGCCCCAGCAGCCTTCTGCCCTGCTGTTGTGGCTGTTGCCAAGGCTTGGGCGGCATATGGCATCCCTGGGCAGCTGCTGGTGAATGGCGGATGGAGCCTGGCTGGAGTTTCACCCTGCCCTGTCCTATTTGAAAAAGGACTTTTTATTGTCCTTGATGCTCAAAGCCAGATGGAGTTCAGTTGCAGTCTTGACTTCCCTGGTTCGCTCTCTGCTGGTTCGGACCAGTGCAGAATATTCCTCCTTGGAGGTGAATCCCATCCTCCATCCTTTGTAGGCCTTTCTTTTTAGCCTCAGGAGGTCTGCTAGGTCCCTGGAGAGCCAGGGGGGCTGCTGTGCCCCTTTGCTGCCTTTCCTCCGAGATGGAATAGAATTAGCTTGTGCATTGAGGATCGCTCCCTTGAGGAGCAACCACTCTTCCTGAACTCCCCTCCCCCTGGGGTTGTGGCCCCTTAGGACCTCACTGACAAGCCTCCTGAGCTTGTCAAAGTCGGCTTTCCTGAAGTCAAGGACTTCAGTGTTGCTGACTGTCTTGCCAGCTTTACAGCGGATGGTGAAGGTGATCAGCTCGTGGTTGCTGTCACCCAGCTTCCCATCGATCACTAGGTCGCCGATTAGGTCATCCCCAGTAGCCAGTACCAGGGTGAGCTGCGCTTTACCTCTCGTTGGCCCGTAGACTTCTTGAGATATGCCATAGCTAAACCTCATCATATCCTGAACATGCGCACGTGTTGAGGAAATTATTCAAGCACATCAGTGCACTTACCTTCCTCTGTCTTTTCATAAAATTCATTACATTTGGGAATTTTTAAGGTCTGTCTTCCTCAGCCTATCATTTCTGTTCACCGACTCCACAACCATCACCGGCACTTCTTTTAGAATGCTAAATTTGTGACATCACACTGTTCTATAGCAACGGCCTGACATCCTTTTTCTTCTGCTTCTAGTCTTTTTTTTTTAACGTTTGGCTAATTAGTGATGGTAGGTTCATTATCTCTGAATAAAGATCTTGTGTTTTACCAGATGCTCTCTCGTCTTCAGTAATTTGCAATATGAATCACTCCAGTGTGCGGATGATGAATTGGGAAAGCAATAGAGGTAAGTCCACAGTAGGAAAGTTTGATGCATGGGAGGCACAGAGCTCATTTAACAGAGATCTCCTTCTATCAAGCAGCTCTGTCAATTTTTGCAGCAGAAGTTTCTTTCACAAGAGATTTCCCTTAGCCTCCTGAAGAATGAGGTACATTTCACAAGCAGGGAATAAATGCTGCATCCTGGGAACATGCCTTTCCTTTCGGAAGGTGTGTGTGTGTGTGTACATATCAGGGTTGCCACTCTCCATAAAGTTACAGACCATCTATTAAAAAAAGGCTTAAAATGCTTGTCTATGAGGTCTGTAAAAATTGAGCTGTCCCTAAAAAACAAAAGGGACCAAAACTTAGTGGTGGGGGGTAGAGGGGGCTTGTTCAATGAGCTTTAGTTAAGCACCCTCACCTCCATTTTTAAGTGCGGGGACACTGATACACGAAATGCAGGAGGCTGCTGGAGCACAGTAATTACCACGCTCCAGCAGATTCAATTAAACGAGTCTGCTCCCAAGTGCTGTAATTACAGTGCATCGGAGCAGCTGCTGCACTTGTGCACAGGCACCCTATGAAACTATAAGCTTGACTGAAGATCCGTTTTTGGAATGAGGTGGGCTGAAAGTGTTGATGGACAAAGCAGAATAGTGCCACCTTGTGCCTGTGCAAGTGTGCAGCTTAGTGCTCTGCAGAGAGCTCACATCACCTGCTTGCCCCAGTGGCAGCCCTGCCTACCTTTGAGGCTAACCCTAGGCAGTTTGGCTGCATCCAGAAATCATGGATGTTTGGTTCCCCAGGAACAAGTAGCAGCAGCACACCTTGCTCCACAGCTACTTGTCCCCGGGGAACACCTGTGCCACGCATGTTTTGGCGGGCAGCAAGTTAGGGAGGTTGGGCCCAGCACTGGGCTGGCCGCAGCAGCCATACCCAGCGGCCTCCTGAGACTGCAGCTGCAGCAATCCTGCTGTGTGGAACCTGGCTGGCAGCCACACTGCAGCTCCGGGCAGCCTGGTGCTGTTTTTCTGCCGCACGCACTGCCCATGCATGTGCTGCTCCATTTTTTTCCCGTGTTTTATTTTTTTGGCCCCTGGCTATCCAGGGGTCGAAAAACCCAATGGAAAAGAAAACGGAGCAGCACATGCATGGGCAGCATGCCCTTACAGTGCAGAGAACAGCTGACTGGCACTACAGACGTGTTTGCGGCACCCCATACTGCACTCATCTGGATGTGCCTTCTGAGACTAAAAACAGAAAACTGGCTTATTGCAAGACATATTTGGTCTGTCCAACTCCCACCAAAACAGATGCAGCCCAGCTGTTTACACACTAGGCTTAAATGGCAGTTACATTGCCAGGATTGCTCCAAGGCAAAATGCTAATTTGAATAATTCACAGGTACTCAGTGCTGGACATTGAGCTAGGTTGTCTGTAAGGTCTGGATTTGCTGCAGCCCAAGACACTCCGGTCTGAATCAAACTGGTTGTCTGTTTTTAGCTTGAGATACCAGGTGGGAAAAAGGAAGGGAAGTGGTGGTGGTCAGGATAGGGGTGTGAGGGTGGGGTCTGTGCCCGGATTGTGGGGAAGCAGGTCTGGCTGGGGTAAGGTTGGGAGTGGGGTGGGGTGGGACAGCACGGTGCAGGGTACAGCACGGTACATCAGGGTATGGCAGTGAGTAGAGGGTCCCTGTGGTGGGGCTGCACAATGAAACACCATTTCTACAGTCAAGTAAGACTGAGACTATTAACAGTTTCATTTCACTTAATGTTTAATAATTAAGGTTTTTTCTAAGGTCATGTGTTTGTTCCCCTTTCCCCTGTAATAAATCCATTTTATTTGGACATTCCTTGTGAGTGGGGCATTTTGTTCACACTAGAACACCCAGGTAAAATATGTTTTTTCCTGATTTCTGGGAGGGGGCTCATGTCAGATTAGAAAGTTAGTATTAAACCCTTGAATTTGAACCCAGCCCTTGTTACTGCCATCCAGAGCCTGGCCAAAGAGTTACATTTATGTTATGTTAAATGAAGCTCAGTAAAATAGTTTGGTTGTCAGGAAAAAGTTTGCAGATTGTCAGTAAAAGATTTTTTCTTGGGTTGGCAGCCCTGATTTATATATACATACATACATACATACAATATTTACTCAATTAGAAGATGAAGTTTTTCCCTCCCCCATTTAACATGGGGGAAAAAACCCCCCTCAACTTACAATTGAGTATGGGGCATGAGGACAGCCCCGTATTTGTGGTGCTACCCCACCCACACTGCCTGGCCCACCTCCTTTTGAGCGGTGGCAGGAGGTGCAGGGTAGGCTGGCTGAGCACTGCTCCTCCTGCCTGGTGTCGGGATCAGCTGGGGCATGGTGGGCCTGGGTGGCGGAGGGGACCTGGGCTGGGACTTGGGCACTAGGGTGGGGCGGACTAGGGGAGGGAGCCAGGGCTGGAGCTGGAATGGTCACCCAGCCCCAGCAGCCTTCTGCCCTGCTGCTGCGGCTGTTGCCAAGGCTTGGGATGCATTTGGCATCCCAGGGCAGCTGCTGGTGCATGGTAGATGGAGCCTGGCTGGAGTTTCACCCTGTCCTGCCATCAGGGATCTTGGGAAACATGGGGTCAGAGCGTGCATGTGGCAACCCCCCTCCCCCCCACCCCCACCATCCCAGATTTCCTTACCCTGTCCTGGATTTCCTTAAAAATAATATGATCTTTATCACTTGAGCTAAGAAGCCAAAAGACATGATGCTTGTCACACTGCTCCCAGAATCTTGTGTGCCTTAACCATGCTAGATCCATGGTTAATGCTCAAGAGAACTTTTGACTTTTCCCTTGGACTAGGCCAGTGAGTGGAGAAAAGACGAAACACACTGCATTCAGCTCACCCTCTTCCATGACCATTTGGTGGTGCTGCAAGAAAGTGGTGGGCAGGGTGTCAAGATCTAGATAGGCTGTTCAAAGTGAAGGAGTGTTGGGGCAAGAAGGGCAAGAGCACAATTTAGTCTTGCACATTTGTTATTTATATGTGCAACCACAATTCCATCGATGTCAAGAGTTCCACCAACAAACAGTTCCATCATCAGTCCGGTTGTTTTATTTACCTCTAGAAAAGGGACAAAAAACTAGTCTATAGTTTCTATATTGCAAAAAGACAATAGAAAACTGTAACTACAACAAGAGCTGACCTACATGAAATGAGTCATACAGCAGGCACTTCTGGACTAAGCCTTGTGGACTTTGGTTAACATTCAGGAAATATTTAGATCATAGAAGAATCTTTCTGTGGTTCTTCTATGTTTCCAAGATAAAACAGAAGCAGTTAGGAACTGCAAGTCAAAAATTAAAGGGGTGTGGGGGGGTGGGCGTCAAATGTTCCTATTGTTGACCATATACAAACCATTATGAATGACTTAAAATTCATTTTCGCACATTGGAGACTTGTTTAATTGACACTTCATTTTAGTATTTTTTTTTAATGATTTAGTATTTTGTTGAAGGAAAAAATAAATAAATTAAGGCCCCTTTGCCTGCCAAGTACTCTGTTCAGGAATATCTGTGCAGAGCAGATAAAAGATAAAGCTGTCTGATATTTACCCTAACGAAGTGAATAAGCTACATTACAATATATGGCCAATTTATGTACACAAATATATCATCTTCCATTAAGGTTTATGGTAATTTCAATTTTTTTTGCATAAGAAAAGCATACTGAAAATACCAAGAAAAAATATTTCATAAGGCATACTTTCAGGTCCCTCTTTGAAACATTTCATGGCACACCACTTACTCTATGGTACACAGAATAAGAAAGAAAAAGTTCCCAGTTTTAGTTCTTTCTTTTTATAAATTAAGAACCTATTCAAGCTAATTCTTCTTTCCTAGTTATTTCCCTAAAGGAATGTAATATGAAACATTGTTCACACTCACGTGTCACTAATGGCAGCTATTGCACAACTCTCCACTGCAAGAAGTAAAGCAGGGGGGTTAAACATCCAAACTGGCTCACAGAGCCTCACCACCTGGCCCCTGATGCTGACCCTGGGTCTGGTCAGACCCACATGAAGCAGTGCATGGCCTGGACTGGCTGGAGCAGGCACCACGTGCAGTATAGTCCCAGAGCTGCTGGGCTGGCCACTGCAGGCGGCACAGTCTGGTTGGGGTGGCCACTGTATGCCACAGTCACAGCACTGGCTGGGCCATGCCACACGCAACATGCATTCTGGCTGCTCCAGGATCTGGGTGCACACACAGCGCTGATCCTAGACTGGCAGGACCAGCTGCTGGATCAGGTATGCTGAGAGAGGGTGAGGGGAAAAGGAGAGAGTTTGTGGGCCTCATCTGGCCCATAGGGTCAGATAAGTTTGATATCCTTGAACTAAAGGGCCATAGGGATTTTGGAAGGCAGTGGCCATGGAAAAACATCACAATGTTAACTGTCATTCCTGATTTATAGGAAAAAGGAAGTTTAAGTCTTCATTAATACAAAGCACCTGCTTTTCCCTTCTCTAGACATAAAAGGGCAAATCTACCCTCAGCTCTTCCTGCGTGTCTCAAATAATGTTAGTGTCATAGCAGAATTGGAGAGGGGACTTTGTACCCACTGCTTCTATATATCCATTACTGT